ATACCAAGGCCTCCACCCCGATTAACTGCTTTTCCACATACTTCAACTGATCCTCGATTAGTAGGCTTTGAAATAAAATGGGTGACTATACCAGTGCAGTTTTTGGTGTTTGTGAGGTGATATGGAACGTGGCCGATAACTCGACTTTCCTTTAGCACGGCAACTGCGTTTTTGTCCTCACCATTTCCCGGCTCTGGTTGCAAAGGCAAAATTTCACCGAGAGTGATACAGTTAATGATTTGTAATTTACAGTACAATTAAAGCGTTTTGTTGCTGTACAAGTGTCGGCCTTAGTGTTTGTATCGATAAAACACGTGTCCCTGACTTTTTTCCGAGGACCCCGGTTAATACGGACACCCCGTTAATACAGACATTTTGGCATGTCCCCTTGGTGTCCGTATTAACGGGGTTTCACTGTACCTGTTAAGTTTTGTGTTGTGGACCTACATTACGTGCAACAAATATTGACGGGACATGAACATGAATGTGAAATTCTGAAGCTGCTGTCCAGCAGAACAAAACCTGTAGCTAACTACAGCATATTTGTCAACAGGATCGTTGATGATCTTTGTTCTCAAGGATTAATCAAGAAACTGAAGACAGTGATTCACCATGGAGCTGCTTCACAAACGGTAACTTTTTTCAAAAAATATATGTACTCCAATTAAGCTACATGTCCAGGGCAAAAATCTGTTGAAGTTAATGTTAACATCTCCTGTGGGCATTTCCATGTCATTGATCAGGGACTTTTAATTTGTGCATGTTTGATATAATCTGCACAATAATTCTTAAGTTATGGATGGGAGATTCACTTGCTCCTTCCTTCACTTCTTCCTTTGCTTTCTGTTAGACTTTTGTGATAATATTCGCTGACCAATAATGTACACGGCTTTCGTGGTTATAGCAAAGTTTAAGTTATATTTGACCTGAAGGTAAAACGATTTCCCTTCAGAGTAATTAGTTTTGTGCTTTGCATTTTTGATGCAAGTACTCTAAATCTTACTGCAGAAATAATCTAGATTGAAAAGATTTTCACTCAAACATCTCTATGTATAGAGGCTATAATGTAAATGGCGCATTTCCCAGAAGTGTTCAGTTAATATGTCTGATTTTAAACTATTTAAGACAGTACATGCATTCTCATTGGTCGATAGATGTGGTTAGAGGAGTATGCAAACACGGTTGTGACATCACGCTTTCTGTGTTTCCCAGCACAATATGAAACCATTTCAAAGCCATCGCAAGACTCGCGATGTAATCTAACTCTCAACTACAAAAATTAATATTAAGGAATTCAAATGAAGAAAACTTTTCCAAGTTTTGATTTTGGGATTGGCCATCTCTTCCCCTCTGAGCGTGAGGAAAAAAAGCAAAAGAAAGAAGAACCACAGCGCTTTGCATGCCTCGATGTTAGTGAGCTAGACAACCTCGTCAAGGGAGCTCAAGCAAAGACGACAAAATATGCAACAAAATACACAGTAAACGTTTTTCAAGGTAATTTTTGCATTAAATTACCACAATAAAATTATCAAATTTTTTTTTTCAAAAAAAATGTACAAGAAAATTAAACGTGAACCAGACACTACAGACTGTGAATGTTTCAAATCAAACTTTGTGCGGCCAATCAGTTGCCATGTTTTGGCTGTCAAAAGTGCATAAAATGACCATTAGACGTTATCGGCATAAAAATCTACGATTACTTTGGCAATGATAGTCGTGAACTTTTTTCATTCAGAATGGGCTTTGGCAAGAAGAATTAACGGAGATATTGGTCACAAAACAAAAACAGAATTGGATGCCAATTTGAGGTTAGTTTACACTGAGGCATGAAACAAAGACAGAAAACTACAGTAGAAGCACATTGCTGGGATTTAGGAATGGTTTAGGGCACTATCTGAACAACCCCCCATACAAGAAAGGCATACACATTGCTACCAACCCAGCTTTCCAGCAGTCCAACCAAGTGTTAGACGCCGAACTGAAAGTCATGAAGAAGCACAAGGAACAAAACATCAAACACAAACCTGCCATTGAGCGTGAAGACCTGCAGCGTCTGAAAGAGAGCGTGGTTATCAGTCCAACAACTCCGCAAGGCCTCCTATACAATGTCTGGTTTCATGTCACCCTGTATTTCTGTTGAAGTGGGCGGGAAGGGCAAAGAAACTTGACAAAGTCCAGTTTTCTATTCCTACAGGATGAAAACAGCAAATGGTACACAACCATGGCCCAGCCGAGGCAAGCAAAACACGCCAAGGGGGGAAAGACGACACCACCACAAACTATGAGAAACTGGGAAGAATGTAACAGACAGCTCACCAGAATGATGGATTTAATGCCCTCTGGCTTTACTGCAGTAACCTCAACCCTGCCTGCAATGCTTTTTTTCAGTTTCCGAAGCGATTCTGGAAGGGTCCAGAAGAATCAGTGTGGTTCGAAAATTGATGTCTAGGTGTTAACAAGCTCGGTAGCATGATGAAAGAGCTCAGCAAAGCGGCTAATCTTTCTCAAGTTTACACCAATCACTGCATCAGGGCAACAGCTATAACATTGTGGTCGGATGCTGGTTTGTCAAATCGCCACATCATGACGCTGTCAGGCCACAGGAATGAAAATTCCCTCAAGAGCTACAGTTCTCGACCATCATCACAGCAGCTCCAGGTGTGCAGTAACGTTCTCTCATCTACTTTGAATCCACAAGCCACACAAGCCGATCAGCAAATGTAAGTCTTCTGTGGGAATCAGCAGCAACTTCAACAATCTAGATCCGCTGCTTGCGCTATGATTCCTAACCAGCAAAACTTCACAAGGCACGATGAGTAATTCAACTTCTCAACCATCTTCTCGGGCTGCCAAATCGGGCAAGTTCACGTTACTTTCAAGAGCAATCAAGCACAGTGACATTCATCTTGAAGTTCTTTCCTTACAGAATTGTAAATTTTTAGAACATTTCTTCTGTTTTCACTGAACTTTAGGCATTTCTCCGAAAGATTTAGGGGGATTCAAAGCTGATATCGCTTTCACTTACATGGCGCTCGCTTGCTCACTGGTGCTTTCCAGAAATTTGGACTTGATTTTGACTTTTGTAACGCAAAATTTCATTGGTTCATGTGTTATCAGATGCACGTTTTGATTGGCTAATAGGAAAGATGATTTTCTAGAGTGTGTATTGAGAAAATCCTTTTGGATCAAGAAGTAAATAAACACAATTTCCCTTCATTTGTCGAATTAATTTTGAGACATATTTTATAAAAGCAATAGAGGACTTTTTTCCTTATTTACATAGCCTTATCTTAACACTTGGGGGTTGGGAGAATTCTTGATAGTTATGCAAACCCTTGACTGCATCTCTGGTTTGCATAACTGTCTCAAATTCTCCCAACCCTCCTTGTGTTTAGATGAGGCTATGTAAACACGAAAAAAGTCCTCTATTGCTAAACTGTACTTGACTGCTCAAAAAGAAGATATTGGAAATGACAAAATTGATGAGCTGTATGAATTTTTGAATGATTCAAGTCATGGTTAAAATTTTTAGCTGAGAAATGGACAGGAGAATTGAGGAGAATTTGAATGATGCGTTTCACTGTTACTATTATTTATACAGTACTGTATATGAATATGGACATGGTAAAGTGATATGAACAAATAGTTCACCAAAAGAAGAAAAGACATTATATAGGGCTGGGTGCTCTGCAGTCAGTGTATTGCCTTGGAAAGGGAAGCAAAAAGAAAAGATAGAAAAGAAATCATTACAGCATGGGGTATTTGTATTTGGTCACCCAACCAAGTAGGAACTTAACTTGGTTGATTGGACACAATGCGGTATGGTGATTCCACAAACAAAACAAATTTTGAAGTGGAATTGAGACCCCAGAACCTATGATCACTCGTACCTAACTGAAGATCAGTTTTAGGCCTCATCAAAGATATATATGCACAACCTTAAACTCTCCTTAACCCTGTTAACTGCAGGAGGCAATTTGATGGGCTAAGCTGAAGATGAAGAAGCTGTCACAAAGTAAATGCAAGGAGAGTGAAATCACTGATATTGGCAGCAAAAAGGAAGAATTCATAAATAAAAAAGAAAACGGGATCCTGTGATACAGGGGTTTTATTACTTGTTTTGGTGATTGGACAAATAAACAGTAGCCTCCATTTGGCGTGAAAATATGTTCGGATATTTGTCCGTGGACATTATCTGTTCCAAGAAGCAAACAGTTTTCTGTGAGTTTCGAGGAACAGATAATGTCCAAGGACAAATATCCGAACATATTTTCGCCCCGAATGGAGGCTATTGTGTTTATTATTCTTTAAATCCTTTTTGCAATGTGCACAATTTTGAAAATTGGGGATTATTGGATTATTTAACAATTATTCCATGAGCGCGTGTTGGATATGAGATGGTAAATAGCCAACGAGGCCCGTAGGCCGAGTTGGCTATAACCAATCTCATATCCAACAAGCGCGAATGGAATAATAATTGTTTTATTAAATTCAGTGCGTTTGTATACTTGGAAATTATAGCTTAATTTTATTGGGTTTTAATTGTACAAAGCGACCGGAAATCGATGTGGTGAAAACAACAACAAGTGGGAAATCACATGACATGCGTGCCGTTTGTAAAATTAGTTGAATGAAAAATCTGAAAGTGAAGCAAGCGAATTTGCTGAATGAATTTATAATCAAGTAGAATTCAAGGAACGTATATCAAATGAAGGAGATATAAACTTGTTCAGAAAGTTTGAAAAGCATTCAAGTTCGAGTCATGGAGAAGAGCCGAATAATTGTGTACTTACACATTGCCGTTATAATAACGCTGCGGAAAACTTTGATCGCCATGTGACCAAGACGTTGTGCCAAAATTATGCTCGACAAGACCTCTTTCAGAATTCCCTTGCTTTGAAAGCCTTGGCATTTCGAGCTGTATGTGTGGAGTTCATTGTTGGCCAGATTCAGAGTCAGAGACAGAAACTATCTTAGCGTCAGATTCATCTTCAGAATCTCCGAGGCCACCCTGATGGTTTTTCGTGGCTCATAAAGAACCAGGCTTACTTCGTTTCAGCTCAAAACACTCAACTCCTTGAGGTGTTTTTCGCAAGGACAGCAATGATGCCCGTTTTCCTGAGGCCTTTTACAAATGCTCTGAAAATTTATTTGCCTGGTCAGAGATAATGGAAAACGGTTTGTTGTGTGGCGGCATGCGAAGGAAATGATCAATGGCGACTCTCCTTATGGATTTAATCGATGAACTTTTGCAATACATGCCATCTTTCTTCCTCGCAGACGTGTAAAAACACTTCAAACAAACATTCAGTTCTTCTTTTGACATTGCTTATATCGGTTTTGAAAATTTGGTGCCACCAGGACTAGCAAGCCATTCTGTTAAGGTAAACATTGTTTTTGTTACATAATCTTCATGAGTGCGTAAAATCTCAACTGTCATATTTTAATTTTGCAACTTTTCGAGGAAACTTAACGTATACGCACCGTTAAATAATCTAATCTNGGTAAACATTGTTTTTGTTACATAATCTTCATGAGTGCGTAAAATCTCAACTGTCATATTTTAATTTTGCAACTTTTCGAGGAAACTTAACGTATACGCACCGTTAAATAATCTAATCTCAAACTTTGTGGCTTTTTTGTTGTTACTGGGACAGCATTGTCCATAATTTCCTGTATTTCGTCTGTAGATAGCACACCGAATCTGTTTTTTTTTTCGTCCATGTTTTTCTCGACGAAACTTGGCTTCCCGCGAAAAAGTTTATGCCGAGCGACATTTATCGTGTTCATTTCCATATAAGGTCAAACGCAGGTATAATGGCTGGTAACTGAGATCCAGTGAACCAATAAGAAAGCCAGAATTGCATTATCTGAGGTTGAGAATTTAATAATCTCGGTTATTCCCCAGTTTTTGCTGGGGGAATATTCGGTCATGTAATGTGTTTAGACCAATCGCGTGCGAGCGAAAATATTTAATGGATTATAAGAAGCAGTACTTTCTTTGCAGTCCTTGGACAGGGATCACCAATAACTTCATGAATGTTTTCAACAGTGTCAAATCTCCTCTTACATTCTCTTACCATTGTATTTTGCACTGATCTGAACATGAGCTGCACTGTACCCTAATTAATTATTTTATTTGTATTTGTTATCTGTGCGAGACAATAAAACTTAATGAATATCAAAATTTGTTGTATTTCTATTATCAAGTGATGTTTTGGTCATTATCAGCTTTTGTCAGGTTCCTTTAAACCAGTACTTCCAATGTTATTAATTTTGTAATATTTCTAAAACAGGTGGATCTCTTCCTCCATTCATCCATAAGTATTGATGATCCAGAAGTGGCTGTTATGCTGGAACAGTGTCGTGTTCGCCTGAGAGATCAAATTAATAAAGTTGCAGAGGTAAAGCTATTGTGCATTGTACAGTGTATATATATGTATCAACTGGTCTATGGCTCCATGTCTTAGTGCAATCCACACTTGTTCATGGGCTTATTTTGTAACCTTACATGGAAAATGTACATTACGCCTTATCCGTTAGACAGATAAAAGCGTTTATCATCCGTTTGTTATACGTTTGTAATCCGTTTAAGCATTTCAGGAAAACCATTTCAAGCGTTAGGGAGGCCCTGTTAGGGGGGTTGCCCATGTCCCCTATGTGAATTTCACAAGCAGCTATGTCAGCACTTCATGAGGTTCTTATGTCGCCTGTCAGAATTTCGTATTATTATTAATAATAATAATAATAATAGTAATTATTATTATTATTATTATTATTATAATCCACTGAAGTCACTGAAGACACAACAGCAATGGAGTAATGATAATAATAATAATGATAATAATAATAATTATTATTATTATTATTTGAAAACTGAGACCAGAGTGACTTTCAGTTTTTGTAAGTGCAGTTTGTTCAACCTCGATCCATGGCTAGACTAGTAATGACCCCAATAAAATAACGAATTGATGTGANTAGTGAGACCCATGTTTAGCCGTAAATTAACGGCTAAATTTGCCTGCTATAGTATCTCGGTGACAGATGAAGTAAAATATCTCCAACAGATGACAGATAGATGGAGCGCGCGCGCACGTGGGTCTAGTCTCCTACCGAGATGCTCTTTGGACTCGTCACGCAATCCTCCTCCGTGACGAGCCCTCGTTGGATATTAGTTTTTGTTAATTAATGTCATTAATGACGTTAATATATTTCAGTTGGTAAAATGAGACGTATTTATGACTCATTGGTTTTATTGAAACGTTATTGACCTTATTGTTTAAAACACTCACTGCTTTCATACTGCTTTCACAAATCTGAAATTCGCTGTCAGTCTGTTTTGACATTGGTGTCGCTTTCCCTATTTCGCTGGAGTAGTTTGTCATTCGTCGCCAGTTTGTGGCTCTCATGTCGCCGTTTCAAGGCCATGCCGCTTGTCGGAATTTACCCCCAACAGGGCCTCGTTAGGCGAAGCGTTTAACGTTACGATCAAATCGTTCAAACGGCTTTCGCAACCGCTCATAAATTTTCTGGATCCATTAAAATGGAAAGAGGTATCAGTTAAGAACACCTAAGCAGCTATTAAAATGGCAAAAGCGATCCGTTAGAGAAATCTAAGCATCCATTAAAACGGCAAAAGCAATCGGTTAAAAAATCCAAGCGTCCGTTTAAACGGCAAAAGCAATCCATAAAGATAGCTTTGAATTCGTTTCAACAGGAAGCCTATCCCGTATCCATTTAGAGACTCTTGGAAATATTATAAAAATGTTTTAACGACAATTTTAAGCTTACTGTTAAAATGACCAAAGACAATGTTAACCAGAAGCTACAGAGATCGGAAGACAGACAACAGAGCGGTAAAACAATTTGTTGAACCGAACAGAAACCTGTGGTATGCTTGTAAATAAATCAAGTTGACGTCTCGTTCACGAACCCTTGATTTACAACTTTTTTATGTCTTATGTTTTGTTGCAGGTTGAGTTTTTAAAGTTAGCTTGCCTAGTTCGTATTTTTATTTCCTTCTTTTATGAAAATAAAAACATTGAAATGAAAAACAGTGGTGGTCAAATGAGAACAAGAACAGTTGTGTTTGGGTCACGTGAATTCACTTAAAACTATGGTATGCGATGTGCCACTTTGTTTGCAGCGTTAGAATTATATTGTAAGAAACATACCTTTCCATTTATCAGTCCCCTTCATTCTATTTTTTATTAAATCGTACTGAGGTCGTGGACAGTATATTTCGAGCTGAAATTCACGTCAATCGTCATCCGAGGGCTGTCCAAGGACTGACATTTTAGGCTAGGAGCAAACTTCCCCGACCCCGTCCATGAAGAGTTTTTCTCTCGTGTCAGGTGTGAATTGTGTGTAACAATTGATGGTATTGTGAATGTGTTTCTGCTCTTGAACAAACTTGCTCGTCTACTGTTTGTGTAGTATTTTTATTGATAGTAAATTGTGTTTCCTTAAAATAATTTGTGACTGGAAATCACTTCATTTATATCGACAGAATTTGGTTGGAAATGTTTCTGGATTGGCATTGCATACGATGACTTCGATTAAACAAACATGGACAGAATTGTGTTTTTGTTTTCTTGACAATTTAACATAAAGACAATCTCCAACCGTAAATAGTTATTCGCTTGCTTTGAATTATATTATCTATATCCAGCTTACAGATGATTAATTAGAATCGTTCTTATTGCTTTCAAGCGCTTATGGTTCAATATAATTTCGCTATTTTGCTGACTGCGTGCTAAGTCAATGACCCTTCGATCGAAAAGTTGAGCATTTGAATTAAAAGTTTGGCTAACCGCTCAAATGCTTGAGGTCATCCATTTGAACACATGAGCTGACTGTTTAAATGCTTCAAGTCATCCGTTCCAAAATATTTGCTAGCCATTTTAACGCTTGAAGTTATCCATTCGCAAATTTTTGTGAGCTGTTTTAACGTTTCCAGTCATCCGTACAAACTAACTGTTCATACGGATGTCAAGCCATTTGCCGAGATTCAGAAACCGTTAAAACATTTCTAGGAAACGTTTTAACACTTTTAAAGGCGTTTACTATCCATTTATTATCCGTTTATCATCCATTTATTTTAGCCCGTGAAACTGATGGGGGCTGATGCGTGTTTTCCTGTGTAAGGTCACATTTTTTAACATGCAGATCAGTCTCATTTTCTTGTGTAAGGATGCGTGTTGACCGAATGGTTAGCATGTTGGAGTGTGGATCACATGACCTGAGTTAAAGTTGACTCCTCAAATTACAATTTGAATTAACATATAATTATGCATGTAGCTTTCTTATTTCTGCAAGTCTTAGAGTAAAATCTGCTCATTACTGATGTTAACTGAGTACAATTTTGTTAACAGAAAGAAGAAAGAGAAAAGCGAATTGAAGAAGAGAAGGAGCGAAAGAAAGTTGAAAAGACAGCTGCAGCAGAAGAAAAACAAAGAAAGAAACTTGAAAAGAAGGGAAAAGATTCCCCAAAAAGATCACAGCAACAGCAAGAAAAAGCCCACTATGAGGTACTAATACAGTTGCCTTTAGAATGGGGGAGATATACATAAACGACATTTTTGTAAAAAGAAAAGAAAGAGATCATTGTGTTTACATGTAGGTCTGAGATTAGATCGGCTGATTGCAACAAATATGTTCTAGCCTAAGCATGAGCACAATAATTTATTATGTTCCAGCAAGAGATTATCAAGGTACATGTAAGAGATTGAATGCCCCATATAGGCCTTATGCCCAAAGTAATCCCTCTTAAGATATTTTTAGACGTAGTACCTGGTTATTCCGATGTCACTCGCGCGATGCATGGACAGCCCAAATGACTTTCTTGCAGCTAGGTGGGATGAAATGGCGGGAACTGCAAAAAGTCATTTTGTGTTTTGATTTTCAAGACATTTGATAGCATAGATGTTTTCTGCACTCTCAGCTGTCGTTATGTTCAGCTAGGCTTTTGTTTGCTTTGTCCTTGTTTGGCTGTTCATTCTTCTGCCAGTCATTTGGTTTTAGGGAGTTTTATTAGCAAACCACAACGGCAATGGCAAGGAGTACAATGGCTGTGTACATGTATGTTATAATTCTTTGTTCATTTCTTTGCCTTTCTTTACAAAAACAGCAACTTGAAAATAATGGTCAAATTCTGCGTATTTGAGAGAATGTGAATTACGACGGCCAAACTTTTTCAAACTATTTTTGAAACTGTCTTACTCTTTTCTGTTTGGGATATCTCTGACAGTGATGGACAAACTGAATTTTTGCCAGATTCTTAGGTTGAAAATTGTTTGTGTAGGGGATATCTGTCTCTTATTTAAACTCCCATCAAAGTTTTAAAACATATTAAGCAGCAGGGGGTGTGGATTGACTTTTTATTACATCAAAATAAAGCCTTCAGGGGCAGGGCACACCCTCAATGACCTACGTCTTCGCCTGCCAAGGAGGATGTGTGTGTTTTGCTCAGTAAAAAGTGGGTTCAGCGCAGGCACTGACCAAAGGGGGCGGTTCTAGTTAGACAGACATGCCTGCTTCGGTATACAGAACCATGCCGAGGTCTATTTGGGAAACTGGCCTATCTCAGTAAACCAAATGATGTTGTTGACACCATGAAGCAAATGGATCCACACAAGGTTGTCAATATTCTTCGCAAAAAAGAAATGAAAACAGAGGCACTGGCTATGCAAATTCGAGGTTGTTTAGCCGAACACAAAAATGAGACAAGACCTGTTTCCCTTGGCTGCCTGTTATAAATAAACGACAACACAGTAAGATCTAATAATAAAGTGTATTATCGTTTGTCTCACGATGTAGTCACTTGAGATGTAGATCGCGATGTTTCGACTGCTTACTGCTAGTCTTCAGGCGATAAG